AAGATAACAAACCTCTGTGGGGTTATATGACAAAAATAGGTAAAACATCAGAAGGGGGTAACAATATTGCATTCAAATGCAATTTTTGTAATGCCACATACAAAGGATCATATTATAGAGTGAAAGCTCATTTGTTGAAGATTAGTGGTCATTTAATTAAAGTATGCTTGAATATAAGCTCATCACAAATGACTGAATTGTAAAGAAAAATCAGTGAAGTTGAGCAAAGGAGTAAAAAATAGCTTCCAAAACATATTTCACTTCCAAGCACTCCGCTTCATATGCTTCATCATCTTCTTCAATTAGAAGTGATGATAGTACTGTTAATAAGGGGCCTTTTCAGATGGAGGGATTTGAACCAAAAGGAAAAAAAATATGATGTAGATAGTGCTTTGAAGAAAGCATTTAATTTACAAATGAGAGAACAACTAGATGAGAAAATAGCTAGAATGTTTTACTCAACTGGACTTCTTTTTAACCTAACAAGAAATTCACATTACAAGAATGTCTTTACCTATGCATGTAATAATAATCTTACAGGATATGTGCCACCTGGATATAATGTCATTAGAACTAAGTTGTTGCAAAGAGAGAATGATAATATTGAGAAGTTGCTCGAGCCTACTAGAGGAGTTTAGAAGGAAAAAATAGTTAATTTGGTTTGTGATGGGTGGACAGATCCACAAAGAAGACCGCTTATCAACTTCATGGATGTAACAAAAAGATATCCTATGTTTATCAAAGCTGTAAACTATGAAGGACAGTACAAGGATAAGTTCTTCATTTCTAATTTAATCAAAGAAGTTATCATGATGGTGGGGCCTTCAAACATCATCCAAGTCAGTACTGATAATGCACATGTTTGTAGAGTTGCAGGTCTACTTGTAGAGCAAGTTTATCCTCATATTTTTTGAACACCATGTGTTGTGCATACGCTTAATCTTGTCTTGAAGAATATTTGTGCAGCTAAGAATATCGAGGCAAACGAAATCACCTACAATGAATGTCATTGGATAACAGTGATTGTTGAAGATGCAATTGTAATTAGAAATTGTATATTGAATCACTCCATGAGACTCTTTATGTTCAATGATTTCTCTAATTTGATGATGTTTGCAGTTGCTGAAACTCGGTTTGCCTCGGTTATAATGATGTTGAGAAGATTCAAAAAAATAAAAAATGCTCTTCAAGCTATGGTGATCAGTGACAAATGGTCCTATTATAGGGAAAATGATGTTGGGAAGACTAGGTATATGAAGGAGAAGCTTTTAGATGATTTATGGTGGGATGAGATTGAATACATCATAAATTTCACAGATCCAATTTATGAGATGTTGAGAGTAACTGATACGGATAAAAGAAATTATATATAGACGTGAGAGAAAGGCACTTCATGAAGACTCAAGCTTTTGGAATATTATTTATGCTATTCTAGAAGATAGGTGGAGCAAAAGTAATACACCTTTACATTGCTTGGCTCACTCACTAAATCCTAGGTAAATTTCAACATTTTTTATTATTAATTCACAATTTGTTGTTTAGTAATTTCAACATTTTTTCATCATTTCATTTTAATATTTTTTGACGATATTCAACTAAAGAATGACTTCAAGAGGATCCTCAAAGAGTTTCTTCACAAAAAGATTTAGAAATTTCAAATATGAGGAAGACATGTTTGAAGCATTATTTTCCAAATGAGGAGAGAAGAAGTGTCAATATTGAGCTTGCTAAATTTTTTGGTTATTTAGAGGACTTTGGTGACCAAGAGTCAGTGTGTGATAGGTGGAGAATTGATTCGAAAATGTGCTGGATTATACATGGAGCTTCAGCACCTCTATTTCAAACAATTGCCATAAAATTGCTTGGCCAAGTTTCATCCTCATCTTGTTGTGAAAGAAATTGGAGCACATACTTGTTCATCCAATCAATGAAACTAAAATTACTCCACAACGGGCTGAAGATTTAGTTTATGTGCATACAAACCTTCGGTTTCTCTCAAGGAAAACTCCAACTTATATGAAAGGAGACAACAGGATGTGGGATGTTGCTGGAGATGGATTTAAATCTCTTGAGAATATGAGAATATTAGAAATTGCTCATCTTTCACTTGATGAGCCTGAATTAGAAGCTATGATATTTATTGAAGAAGATATAGAAACTCAAAGACAAATCACTGAAGAAGCTAATCATATCATTCCTTCTATTGAATAGTTGAAATTTCATGTGTTGAACAATTTATCTTCTTGTTTTTATTGTTGTACTAGACATTTAAATATTTAATACTTACTTTTATTTCAATTTTTTTTGTCATTTCAAATATTACACTTTGATTACTTTCTTAATTTTTATGTATTATTTATATATTATAATGCCGTATCCGCGCCGTATCCGTATCCTGTATTTTTAAGAATTGGCGTGTCCCGTATCTATATCGTGTTGTATCCGTATCGCCGTATCCTTATCGGTGCAACATAGGTGGTAGGGCACGATTTTAATGTTGCAACCTTTTTTTTTATCCAGAAATCTGAAGGCTTCTTGATGCCATCAACTTGAGTAGTATATAAGCATGCCTTCTTATTTTTAGCTTTATTCCGACAGTTCATATAAGGTTTTAAAAGTAACTGAGGGTGCAATATTATTAGACACCCATTATGCTATGAATTCAAACAAGATAGTATTACTGAGTTTAACCTATAGTTGTAGTTTTCTTTTCTGAATTTTCTCACCTTTTGAAATTCATAATATGATTTTTTTTTTAAGTATGTGTTGCAAAATATTTTTAGGCCTGTCTCACCACACAGAAATTGTGATATTTGCAGTTTCATTGAAGGAAAAAAATGTTGTCTAGCCGATTACAAAACTGTTTTCTGAGTAAAATGACCTGCTTAAAAGGTTATATTGCCTAATCATAAAATTCATTTCTAAATTTGGAATAATCATTGCCTAGAACATAATCAAGTGCTTTTTTTGGTGATGATTAAGTACCATTTCTATCTTGAACTTTACAAAGTCTTTGCCTAAACATTAAATATTTTTGTAAAAAATTTGGTTAAAATTATTTGTTATGAAAATAATTTTGCATATGGCTTGCAAAACCATCTCATTAGATTTTATGAACTCACCCGTAAAAAATTTTTTAGGCAACGGTTATTTGCAGTGTTACCTCAAGTTTAAAGCATCTAATTTACCTTAAGACAGGCCTTATACACAGCAGCTGGAAGACTGTCGACTTAATGCAGTGCTTTTGCTGAATATTGTCAAATGCTAAAATTTTCTTGTATTTTAGCAGCCTCTTAGATCGTAATTTCTCATTCTCAAATTCCTCAGCAATGTCACACTTCTTATTTCGCAGGTTACTACCTTTTCTCCAGCCCAAAACCAATCTATTTTCTTGTTGCAGGTTGTCGTCCTATACAGAAATTTCCTTCTCATTTGTTATGGTACACCTAAATTTTCCTTAAATGTTTTAGATGTCGGTGCTCGTAGAAATTATCTTTTAGAATTTTAAGATAAATTCGTGATAAAACTAGTTGGATATATTCAGAATGATAATGTTAGAGGGTTGGTGTGAATAGTATTTATTAAAAATAAGATATTAAGATATAGATAGGTGGCAAGGGCATAGTATTTATTAAATATAAAATATTAAAATATATATAGGTGGTTTGGCCATGTGCAATAGAGATTATAAGATGTGGCGAGTAAAATTAAGGAGAAAAAGGGTATCCAAAGGTTAAGACAACAGAAATTGTGCAAAATATAGAAAAAGTGCATGAATAGGATTAACAACTCCTACAACACTTTAATAGGATGAAATGAAAAATAAGGATTCATAAAATTGATCTCAAATTATTAGAATAAGGCTAATGATGATGATGACCTTGTAGACCTGTTGCTTCTGCTTATTAAACTTTGATTGCAGTCATCCAAATCTATCTACTGTTGCTGAGCTTCAATTACTTCTCAGTGTATTTCTTTTACACATTCAGCTTTTAGAGTCTAACATTGTACCTCCCTGATGTCAATGGGTAGGTATAAACTTCAATGCATTGATATGCCTATGAATAATTAACAAAATACGATGCATGCTGCACATATTAGATAATGTCATAGGAAAGTTATATTGTTACTTCTTGAGCCACTATCCAATCAATTCTTGGTAATTTTTCTTTTCTTATTAGAATTTAGAGTCCCTCATTCTTCAGAAATTTATTTATGTGGTTGGATATACATTTGCAGTAAATATCTTTTGTTGGATGGAATTGAATGTGAAATCATATACTAATTTCACTTCGGTGGTCCTATAACACCCAACTGGTCCATTTTTATTCAATCTTTACTTTCCCCGGAATAATGTCTGCTGTCAGTGGCACCTTTGGAAAGCTTTAGAAATAGCTGTTTTAGTTTCCCAGATAATAATTTCTATATTGCATTCTCTCATGCACTTGCCTGTGGCTCAGACTGAATCCAAATTACTAGATATAAGGGTTATTATCTGAAACATTAGTTTTTCGTGGAAGCTAAAAGACTTTGGCACCGCAGGGTGTAGATAGCTTTTGGTAGAATTCAAGTTGGATGGTTGAAGTGGATGAATGCATCGGACCTGTTGTGTAACAGAAAAATACACAAAAAGATAGATCTCTCGCATCTGATTTAGGCTTCGTTTGGGACAACTTTCTTATTACTTTTCAAAACAATTTTTTAGTTTAAAAAATTTTTATTCTAAAAAACTGCTTCAAGAAGCAGTAAGAAAGCCGTCGCAAAAAAAAACCTAAATCAATGCACTCAATTTAGTTGTCTCATTTTCTTCATTGTGCAGATAAGCAATTTGTTGAACTGCTTTGAAATATCTAAAGATTATGTCATTTCTATTCTTTCAAATTCCTGTTGGATAAATATATAGTAAAGAATATTTTCTCAGCATTTCGCTCTAATTTTTCATTTTTTCTCTCAACATCCACATTTTGAAACTATATTTTTATATACTTATTTGATTGAAGGGAAGCTCCATGTTCAGGAAATCTGGCCTGCTATAACAATCCATTGAAGGATCTCCTCAATCTGCTCATTTAACGAATTCCACTGCAACAAAACAGTGTAAGTGTCAGTTGATTTATCCAGAATTCTCCGGCATTCAGCTATTGATGCTATATAGTCTATGTAGGCATTATTTTTAGATACATTGCAATTGTGTTGGATTTTGCTGAAAACTGAACTTCTGGTTCTTCGTGTTATATTTGGAACTCTGTTATCTTACGATATTCTACAGTGATGAAGAGCGGAGATATATGCAATGTTATTATTATTTTTTTATCTTAAGCTGATTACTTATATTTCATATTTTCTAGTTCATTTTTTTCAGCACATTAATATAGAAATTGACCATTAGTATTATTATTATTTTTTTAGTGCAGTTTGTTATCGTATTTATGGTTTGGGCTATTGTAATTAGGGGTGTAAGTGAATTGAGCCAGCTCGTGCTCGACTCGTTTAGGAGCTTGTATGTCAAGTTTATTGAGTTTCGAGCTCCAGCTCAAGTAGAATTTCGAGCTCTAGTTCTAGCTCGGGTGATGCTTGGATCGTGGAAGGCTTGTGAGCTCATTTTTCAGTGGCACGAGCTGAGCTCGAGTTTGCCTTTTGAGCTTGACTCGAGTCAAGCTCAAGATTTCGCTTGCAAGTTGAGCTCCAATTAGATCTAATTCAAGCTCAATTTGACTCATTTGCATCTTAAATTTTAATTAATATTGTTCAACTATTCAGCACTTTTGATTAGTGGGCGAATTAATTTAATATTATTTTATATATATTAATGTTAATCACAAATAATGTTTCAACTCAAATTCTTTTAATGTATGTTATGTTATTAATATTGATGTAAGAATTAAAAAAAGAAAAGGTAACTTAATTTCTCGTATGTAATTCACTTCTCGTATGGGCGGTTTTTAAAATTAAAAAACAATATCGTAGACTTTCAGTTAAGCTTAATTTTAGTCAGATCTAAAATTGACTTGTAAGGCCAATGCTGCCGTATGAATTTGAACAAAAAAATCTAAGTCATTAGAATTTCTACATGTTAAGGATTTAGGGTTATGTAATCTTGCCTGCCACCATTAATGATGAATTTGCACTTTTTTTAGCATTACATTATTTGAAAAAGAAAAATTAAATGATTAGCAGGGGTGTCAATACTTGACACGATTCAAACTCGATCCAAATTTTTTGAGAAAGGTTAACCTGTTTGAGCAGCAAAATTAAGCAATTTTGCCACTTTGGAAAGTGTCAATCTGCTTGCATAAGGTGTCCCTCATCGGGTCAGATCAACCTGAAAACCCAACGAGTCGGATTGAAATCTAAACTTTCAACCCATTTACATAACCGGATCAGGTTAGGATCACCCTGTTTAAACTCGAGCTAGTTCCGCGTTCGATCCGAAACTCAATTTTGACACCCCTAATGATTAGATTCACACACCTCATTACTCATCTTTTCTTTGATAGAATGCCACAACAGGTCACTCAAAATTTAACAAAACTATCCGACATTTTGGGCCAAAAAAATAAAAACATTACTTCGCTATCATTTATGATGATCTGATCCTAAGCTGTAAAAGCTTTAACGAAAATAATGGGTAAAACCCAATCTGCTACTTTCAACTAAGGCCTGTTACTGCAAATTTTTTAAATGGAGGAATTAAACAAGGTATCAGGAACTAACAACAAAATGAACAAAATCAGCTCACAATTAGCATATATGAAATTTCATAATAAATACAGCAAACAATTATACAGTAACTGGCCAACTTTTGGCTGTCCTGAGGCCCTCCATATTTATTCTCAACTTTTTGACAAATGGAAGTTTTAAATCAATTCCTAAACACGAATGAAATTTCAAAATTATGAAATCAAGCATTTCCAGTGGTAAATTCTGCTATCTTTGAACCCTTTTTGGTCTAATTCGCTTGAAAGCCATAAAAGTTACTGCAGCAGAAAGGGAGTACCTGAAGAGCACAAAACAATAGCATGAGATCAATCAAGGGGTGCAAGCTTGAAGAATCCAGAACGTACGTGATATCACTTTATTACAATAAAATCAAACAAAATAAGCTCAGAGTTCCAATTATCATAATCTATAGAACATTGGTTTTAGCTTTTAACAGAAGCCTTCTATTAGGCCGGCTCTCCCTGAACCAGCCCAACCGGCCCAAAGGCCGGTTCTTTATTAGAGGCGGCGGACAAGCTGCCCCCTTTATGGTGCCCCCTTGCCTAGTGGGGCCCACTAGGCAAGCCGTTTAGGGAAGAAGAGGGGGGCGGCTAAGAGTGGGAGGTAAAAGTTTGAATCCAGTGTTTGAAATTAGAGAAATAGGGATTAAAAAGCAAATATTATTTAGGGTTAGGGTTAGGATTATTCATGTTTTGGGGCTGCTTTTGAGAGTTCTTGTCTTGGAGTCTTGGGCCCTAGATTTCTTCTAGGGATTGGGAGAGAAGATCCTCCTCTCGAATTGAGGATCTATTGTATCTTGTTTGTTTCATCACTTATTTGATTTCCGTCAATCAAAAGATGCTGTTTTTGCTGAATTTTTCCATCCGAATCTTTGTTCATTTGCTATTTTCTTCTCTCTTTTTAGGGATTATTTGGATTTCTCAAGTATTTCCTAACACCTTCCTTTCAATCTTACTGAGAGTTGCATTTAGAAATCTAGTTTACTTAAATCTATTGAAACATATTCACGTTCATTCCCTCATTTCAGTGCTGCTTCTCGAATTCTCCTGCCTTTCAAATTAGCTCAAGAAGATGGGTTTATTAGCCCTTCCTCGCAAAGGGGAACTCAGTGAGCGGCATAAGAGGGTATACATGCTCTTCTCTAAATCTATGAATGCATCCTCTAAAATATATGAAAAAGGTGGGGGGGAGGAACATTATTGTAATAAAGTAGTTGAGGCAATTTCACAGGTAATACTAATCAAGTGTATTTGTATAAATAACACTCAACAAGTTGTTTTATAATAATGTTACTCAGAACATAATAAAAATATCCACTTTTATTCTCAATAATTTGTTAAGTTCTTAATAATTTTCATTATATCACACAATAATACAGATTCAATAGTTTAATTAAAAACTTAGATGTTAATTTTATAAGATGACGTGTGAGAACCTTTCTTATATTATCGAACTCTTTCTCCCACTTTCATCTCCTGCCAGTCCTTCCACCTCTCTTTAAATTCTCTTCAAAATTCTTCCATAATACCCTATAACTTCTCTAATATAAATTATTGCACTCAATTAATCTCGGCCTACTCTCATCAATACTAGTGTAATAATCAGTGCTCATGCACAGACTCCCATGCAGCCTCTTCCAACTCTCTCATTTCCTGAATGTCTATCAAAAACACAAACAAGAGTAATGAAAAAACTCAGCAACTTCCTTTAATTTAAAGATAAGTCTTATATCCACTTTCTTAAAGTGCAACTTTTTAATTAAAAATTGACATCTAATGCTTCGTTTGGGACAGCTTAATTGTTGCTTTCTAAAACAAATTTTAGTAAAAAATTTTCTAATTAGGAAAATTTGTACTAAAAAATCGTTTTCAAACGAAAGCAATAAAGAAGCATTCCCAAACGAAGCCTTAATTGTAAGAACTTTAAAAGCCCATAGTTATTGTCAAGGAAGAGTGTCTAGGGAGCAAAACCTTAAAATTTGAATTACTGTCAAATGAAATCACGTATCTCTTCAATGATAAAAACCCCCATAACAATTAGAAATCCCGCCCCTCACCATCTACATTCCTAATCACTTCTTACATTAATTCCATGATAATTATTTAAATTAACATAAAAAAATTCAATAAATTTAATTTTATTATATCTTCATACATCCTAACCCCTCCCCCTCCCCCAGGTTCACAAATCTCATCACTTTACCAACCCTTTCTTTTGTCTATATAAATGATTACAGGGTTTAAGACTGGAGTATTCTGCTCTTTGTCTCAGGCCTCAAATTAAAAATATCAAGCACTCAAAATATGTCAGTTAATATTGTTGATAGGCTGATATAAAGGTATGCTATAACTTAATTAATTTATTGCATTTTTAAAGTTATTTGAATATGTAGGAGTTTGCTACGAAATTATATAAAATTTGTTTGTTTTCCCACAGTAAAAAATATTCTGTCTTCCCTATTGTTTCTTTCACATCAACATTAGCTCATATCTAAACCAGCCGTACCTATTTTCTTATTAACAAAAAATTATATACCTATATTTCCTCTACCGGCATTTTGCACTACAGTATTTTCTAGGATTTATCTCTCGAAGCTCCCTTCCTACAAACTGAAGGTCATTCGAAGAAATAACAATATATCAAAATCCCCTCCACCCCACCCAAAAAAAGCTTTAGAGATGGAAACTTTTTTCTTCAAGGTCGACTACCCCAACCATTCCATTTTTCTTGAAAGAAACCGAATCATAATTGAAACCATGGAGGAGAAAATGAACAATCACACAGAGCTTTTCGAGAAGCAAAATAATTGCTATCGGGGTTCTTAATTCTACGCAAGAATTGAGTTGTGCCTATGAAGTCACTTTTAGCATCAACATAGTCGTCATGGAAGAGCAAATGGGAGGCATCAGTAGCCGCTACTCCAGGAACGCCACAAGATATAAAATAATAAAAAAAGAAAGGCTGGCCGATGTTGAAGTGTGGGATGACAATTTAGTTAGCCGATGCACGAAGAGTCTTGCCACATCTAAAAATTTGTGAATAGTGGCCTATGATAGCTAAATAGGGTTGAATGGAGATAACCATGTTCTCTCGGACCTTAAAAAGAATGATAAATCATACAAAAAATAAGCAAAAAATGATCAGGATAAAACCAAATATGAAATGAAAACCATAAAAGATTGAACTGAAACTAATAGCAGCAGCTGGTCTATTGTACTTCGAATGATTCAAGTTAAAGTTGCTTCAATAAGCAACGGTTCTCAGCGGTTTAGATAATTTCTCTTTGGAGAGTAGTCCCAAGAGATCATGACAGAAAGTTTCATGATGATTATTCAACAAAAGAAATGAATTTTAAGAATTAACCAACAATATTGGGCCTGATGATAATCAACAAATATTCTTGATGACGTTCATGTCAAAGACTACAATGATTCACCAATTAGTAAAATGGCTATGTGGTCATGATGGTGATAGATGCTGATGGAAAATCAAGCATCATCGGCTTTCGGATAAATGCTTTAGTAAGCTAAAAATATGAATGATAGGTCAAACACAAAAAGTAACCCCATCTTTCAGAAGCATTATGATGATTAGTAATGACAATGTAAATTAATCAACAAAATTTCTCATCTTTTTGAATATTAACTAACAACAAAATACTATTTTAGATGAAGAAGATAAGATGAATCAACTTTCTGAATAGTCAGAAATGAAAAGAATTTATAAACTCATTCCTTTAAATATAATCTTAAAAATAAAATGACTGTTGATGGTAAGATAAAAGTTTGAAGAAGTTCACTGGAACTCTATCTAGAAAAATGCAAAGCGCTAACAAAAATTAGTTGGAAATAAATGTGTTTTACCAAGTTAACGTATAGTTTAGATGATCCTGTGGCATGACCGAGTAACGGATCAAGGTATTGACATCTTTTGGCACAGGATAAGGATCAGTTGCGGAGGCATTTTCATTTATATCTTCTATATATAAAGTATCATCTGGAAGACCACAAGCCTGAGCAATCATGGGAATATCCACATAAAACCACTGACCACTCTTAGGATCATTTTCAGGGACAAAAATACTCGGTTTTTCACTTCCACGAACAACCCCAGCAACCTTTACGGGGATTTCAGTATGCTCTGTATCCTGCAATGGTAGGAAAGGTAGAACATTGGAAAACTGGATATAAAATAAAGCTCCAAAGATATTCACAACAATCACATATGTTTTCCTCAAAGCAAGATTTGCAACACTTCGAAAAATGTCACAGAGAGAGAGAGAGAGAGAGAGAGAGAGAGAGAGAGAGGCACATGTCAAATGTAGGGATAAGGCTAACCATTATGATGATGTTGAAAGGTACAGTCACATGCACCAATACTTAGAGGAGAACTTGAAAAAATTCATGTCCATCTTTTATGATATTCATAGCAACATTTTCACACTCGACACTCTATTTTAAGTTATGCTCATATCACATCAGATCGCTCCTTTTTTTTAGAGACAAGTTGTTGTGTAAAGTGGTAAAGAATAAATTTCAAGTTCTTTGGTATAGGCCTATATAGATAGCTATGATGCACCGACACTCCGCTTAAAAAGGGTATGCAGTGTCGGACATGGACACGCGTCCGACACGGCATGGACACGGGATTGAAGTGTCACAATTAAAAAAAATAAAATTAAAACCGGACACGCGTGTCCGGTTATCAAATAATAAAATCGCCCAGTCTGATTCGTTCTATTTAGCCTTTTCCGCGAAAGAGAAGCCCTATTTTTCCGATCCATGAAAGAAATCTTCTAGGGCGGACCGGGCGAGCTCGCAGCCGATGCCAAAAGGAGCCCGCTACCTTCGCATCCCGTTCCTTCGTCATTTCTGCTCGAGCCGAGGCCAAGACGAGCTCGTTTTTCCCATTCCTTCGTTCTTGCGTGATTTCTGCGATCAGCCGAGGCAAAGTTCGCAATCATATTCAATGAACCAGATTTGTAAGTAATGATATTCAATGATGATATTGGGATTATTGGAGGTTGCAAATCTTTCTCTAGATGAACCAGAGTTAGAAGCAATGATATTAAATGATGATGATATTGAAGGTCAAAGACCAACCTCTGAATCTAATTCTATCATTCTCTCTATTGAGTAATTTTTAGCTTATATTGGACATTCATGTTGTACTAAATAGTTTTTTGCTTATATTTTTGTCGTTGTTCTAGGCATTTTGTACTAAACATCTTTATGTTATAAGCTAAACAAGTTATCATGACTTTGATTTATTATTGCTTGCCATTTTTAATATAATGTTACCTTAATTTCTATATATTATATTAAAAAATTATTATATCGTGTCCACGCCACACCAGTGTCCTATATTTTTAAATATTGCCGTGTCCCGTGTCCGTGTCGTGTCGTTTCCGTGTCGCCATCTCCCTGTCGGTGCATCATAGCTTATGGTTCAATTGTTTACTAATGTAACCTATGATGAGATGCTCAATAAAACACATAAAAATCACAATTCAGATGTTCTAACTATCAACATTAACAAATATTAGTCACTTTTAATGCAAAATAACTTTTTTTTTTTTCATTTCAAACAATAATATAACATGCATAAAAATTTGAAACATCCCAAAAAAAATTAAGAGCATTTATTAAATCTCAACAATGTTTAATACTCACGCAACAAAATAGGAATCCAGGACATCATACTTGACAAAACTTCAATGGCTCACACATGAATAATTAAATGATACGAGATAGAGAATAGAGATCAGTTAGTATTAATTTAAGCATCATGCTTGTACAAAAACATTCTATGGATATATATATATATATATGATTAATCTAAAGTTAAATATATATAATAAATCAAATTCAGATGACTACTTAATTAATAAATACTAATAAATATTGAATAAAATATATGTGATTTGTATTTAAATTAATTTCTTTCTTTTAGTTTGTATACAAATAAATTTCAATGTTATCTTTTTATCTCTCCAAATCTAGTAATTGTGCATCCAATGGTTGGCTTGACAAATTCAGTCATAGTCACTTGATCAAGGGTTTTTTTTATGCAAATGCAATCTGGACCCTTTGATTAAGGGTTTCTAAGAGGGCTCTCAGCATATATAGTTTTCATCTCAGGTTTTGCAAAGGGGGGACACTCAAAAGAAACGGCTCATCCCTCTTACTCACGTGAAGACGCCTCCAAGCGGGGATCTCTCCCAGATTTTTTTTTCTCCTATTCGGCTAGCTCAAGGAGGATGGAGGCCTCCTCCTTCACTTTCCCGGCCACGACGCCGAGCCCCTCTCCGACACCTGTCGCGGCCTTAGCCATTCGCTGCCGCCTCCCGGACCGGCAGACCATCCGCCGTCAATGCTATATCCGAGCTCGACATCCATCCGGCCACCTCAATCGCCGCCGACGAAGAACAGATGCTAAGGGAATCGAGAGTTAAAGCTTGAGGAGAGAGAGCCTAGGCATTTGACTTGTTGAAGAAAGTTTTCTTCATTCCAAGTCTGTTGTCTGATGGTATTGCTCCATCTAAAGTTCTATGAAAATATATACATATATATTGAGTTCTGTATGAGTTGATACAAAAGAATTTTGTACCATCGTCATGAAAGATTTAATGTCTTGGCATGTTGGATATATCAATTACTCTTATAATTAAATGTTGAATCAACAAGAGGGTTTAATTAAAGTTTGAGTTTTAGAAGTCTTTTATTTTAGTAAGTTTTAGTTTAGATTTGATCTCCTAATTTAGTTCACATCTTTTGAATTTAGATTTGTTAGAGATTAATTAATGGGTTGGTTAGATTTAGTTCAAGAGTATGTTCAATTACTCTTATAATTAAATGTTGAATCAACAAGAGGGTTTGATTAAAGTTTGGGTTTTAGAAGTCTTTTATTTTAGCGAGTTTTAGTTTAGGTTTGATTTCTCTCGCCTCGGCACGAGTCAAATGGTGACCGATTCAGACGCAAATGGGCCCGTTTGGAAGATCTCGACGATCTGAACGCACTCGAGCAGTTCGTTTCGCAAAACGATGTCCCGATCAAAAGATTTCATGCATAGAACAAATATGCATGATAAAGGCTCAAATACATGCAAAATACACGTCAAATCATCGTTGACACGATCACACATATTTTAAGACATGATAATAAACAATGTGTGATCAAAAGAAATAAATTTCGAAGTCGACGATGAATTGAGGTAAAAAATACGCAATTTGATCCTTCATCAGGCACAACAACGCAACATGCAAACAAAGTGGATCAAATCAAAAAGTGTAAGTGACAAGACTGTGTAGATGATCGATGCCAAAAAGGAGGTCAACATAGGGGCGTTAGTGAGCCAAGCCAGCTCGCGAGCCGACTCAAGCACGACTCATTTATGGGCTTGCGAGCTGAGCTTATCGAGCTCATGAGTCAAGCTCGAGCTTGATGAGGCTTGGTTGTATCCATTTTTAAATTAAGTAATTATTATTTTTTATTACATTTAAATTTTAAAAATAGATGGTTGTATCCATTTTTTTTTTTAAAAAACTGCAGCTAAAGTAGAATAGTTGCCCAAAACAAATGCATTAAATATTTTAATATATTCCCAAGACTCTTGATGTCAAAAAACACGAGATATTTATTTTATCTATAGGAAAAAGAAACATACAACTGGGAGCCGTGCGGAAGAGCACCCCAAGGCATCTGTAATGTGGCTGGCTCGCTGGCCCAGATATCGGGTGGGAAATGACAAAACAGAGTGGGCGGGAAATTAAAATTGAGCGGCTCGACGAGCTCGTTTATGTAACCAGAGTCGAGTTCAAGCTCGACTCGAGCTCGAGCTCGAGCTCAAGTTCAAGCTCGATGTTTGACTCGCAGTCGAGCTCGAACACCTCTTGACTCGAGCTCGATTTGACTCGTTTACACCCCTAATATACAACATACTGCAAAATTTTTAAACCTTTGAATATCTAGTAAGTTGGCACCAACAAATATCCTTGTTAGCAAGAACAAACAATCCAACAATGAAAAAAAATACAACAATATAAGTAATTACGAAACGGTCAACATTGGTACTTTCACAAGAATGTTCTAAATATGAATTATGATTGTTATGAAATATAAGAAAGCACCAAAATGACAAGGGATAAAATAACATAGAGTAAGAATAAACACTTAATATTAAAATCATTCATATTTAGTATCCATGCAGATAAATCCAGACACATTAGATTTGAGACAACCAACTAGAGTTCTTCAACGGAATCAATAGCAAAGCAATAAACTCATGATGAAGATGATGATGATGATGATGATGATGACGAATTGGAGAAAATTGGCTTTCCATGTGTACCTTGTATTCCTTTAAATCCTGTGCTTTAAAAACAAATTCAAATACAGCATAGAACATATGGAAAAAATTAAAAAAACATATTGGTTTTTTATCTCCTTCAAGAAATTGTTTCAATCTTATTGTGATATTTTCACAGACGAATTAAGCAATGAATGCAAACTAAAACAGAGGTAATGAAGTACTTTCCTGAATAAACAAAACCATATCACAAGCGCAGTATAACACTTGGGTTCTAACCTTCTAAAAAGAATGCATAACATGCCAAAAGCATTCCTAGTGAATGCTAACAAAGTTGTTATATTGGATATTAAGCTCCACAGTAATAATCCACCATTAAGATGTATAGCATCTCCTTACCTCAATAAATTAAATGAATATTGTAGAACAGAGATAATATTTTAAATGGCATAAAATTAATGTTGTTTGAACTTATAGCTCTTAGAGGTAATTTGGCATCTGCAACAGCTAGTTATTGATTTCAGCATCCTGACAGTGACAATAGAACTAAAATTCTCGTAGAAGGTGAATACAGTTTGGTAATAACCTTGGAGAGCTTGGGTTTTCGGGACCAAAATTTCCACCAAATACTGCCGCCATTCACTTGGAGATCCGTTGTTTTGGAATCTGAAGGCTTCTTAGAGGGCCGTGAATCTTTTAGAGACCTATTGCGCCAACTTCGAGGTACCCACCCTCTATTAACAAGGATAGGTCGCTGCACACTGATAATTTCTTAAAAAATTGATATGTTAACAAATAGTGATAAATATGCAGAATAATTCAACCAAGAAACAAAGAGAACAAATGTCAGAAATTTTGAAATAAAACGAGTTAAGTATAAGAATCTCACTCTAGACTATAACTTCATAGGTTACTGAAAACTGAAAAATGGGAATGATTGCTTATCAATGTAAAATATGTCAAACAAATTCTTTATTAAATGGATGAAATTGCAATGTGTGTGCCATTCAAAATCCTTTTCTTTTAGCAACCATTTAAAAAAAAAAGAAAAAATCAAACCACATATTTCCCATAAGAGGTAATTGTTCAATTGTGGATTCTCATATAGTTCTCGAATTTGAGTTTTCTAATTTTTAATTTCCAATGCACATATTTTGCATAATTCAAAATCGTCTTCTTTTAGCAACCTCTTGAAACAAAAGGAAAAAAAACAAACAGAATCTTTCCCTTTAGAGGTAATTTGTCTTATTGTGGATTCTTTATCAAAACAGCAGTTCTTCAATTTGATTTTTCTAATTTTTACTCTAGACTTCAGATGTAAAATAAACGTCCAAACATATATAAATGTATTGTGTATTGAATAAGATATGTATAAGCAAGTGCAGAACAAAAAGAAGTTGAAACCGAATAAGCATCATTCAAAAAGTAAAAACTTGAAGTCCCAGAATAACTAGTAACAGCCTAAATCCCAAGGCAACAAGTTTCCAACAAGAGCTTCAAACTTATTCAACATCATAAATGTTTGCAAGAAAAAAAATGAGAATTTTGAAGGGCTGGAGCGCACTTCCAAACTAACATGAGAAGTATTATGAATTATTCACTTCCATTTAAGTCTATGTCTCTAATGTTTGCTAGTAAGAAAATGAACCTTCATGCACAGCATCATCTACAACTAAGGTACATTTGCCTCAGACAAAAGTTCCACAAAAAATAGTGCGTAGCCTGCAAACGTAAACCTGCTTAAAAGTTTGTTTTGGGGGTACAATTGTGGAAAGTTTTCTTTTGATATACCTTCCTTAGCACAACAATTATTTATTCCATTCAATAAATAACAAAAAAAAACCCGAAGGTGATAACTCTTATCATTGTTGATTATTCTTAATTTACTATTGGAATATATTGCTTCACCAAACAGGAATATACTCCAAATAGTTTGAAAAACTTTGACCACCTTGATAAAAGCATTAAATAAGACCACATATAACAGGCTATTAAAACAATTAAGAAAAGAATAATTTTCCAAAATTTAATTGACTCGTTTCACTACAATCGATAGATTAAAGTCAAATAATTTTTTTCATAAATCAAAGTTCTATTAAGGTCATATATGGTATTATAAATGTTAAGAACACAAAGCTAATTCAATGAAAATAACCAAGCTATGCTGTTTGAAACAACCAGAACAAGAACTATAAAATGTTGCCATATATCAATGGCCATATGGATTGTGTATCAAACAAAGTGACTTTCCAGATAATCAAGCTGGGCACTTTTAAGGATTTACAAGTTCAGGATAAAAGGAACTGCAAAAGATTTACATAATGTTCAATAAATAACTCAATACATGATGACACATACACGTTCATGGCATCAAAAGTGGATGTTGGCTATCAAAGATGAAAGCACTGCAAAACTTCTAAGCAATGCTAACCATATGTACAACCTTTCTAAATTGTTGACCAAATATATGGTAACCAAATACTACATCAATGAACAGCCTCATTAAGAATCCTACATACTTTTTAGCTTGAAAAAAGCATGATTCAGAAAGCCTAATTTCTGTTTACAAGTGCATATTTATGCATTCCATACCATCTCTACTAGAGGAAACTACATATAATAAACAAAACAACTCATAACTGTCACATTTTCTTTGCTTGGAATTGGTTTTACTAACAACAGTATTCAAGTTATAGATAGACCTTCCAATAGAGAAGCACTACTGAAGTTATCTTTTCATGCTTACATTGCAGTCTCAGTCATAACATGAGATCCCTATAGAGTTAAAAAGGAGGCCAAACACCTTTCCTATACAAGTGCCCATCCCATTTTACATGACAGAAACCTAAAGCCATAAATGATTACTACTAAAAGCTCACTATAACTCACGCAACCTTTTTCCCCCTAAAAGTCCTTGTAGGATCAATCCAAGAATTACGCTTGTATTAATATGACAATAAGTGTATATGCATTAAATCGTGCCTTGACTTTTATGAATGGCATGCAGTACTTCATTTGTGGTAGATGGAAGCTAGAGATTAAAGTTTTAAACTAAACAATAATAGCTTCATAAACAATTTTCACAAATATAATAACTGATAATTTGGCTGGAAAAATAAAAGTAGATGCTACAACCTTCCCATGTACATTAAAGACTTCTTCCAATCATACAATATTGTGCAGAAATCTGCAGACTTTGAACATGTTCTAGTGATACTCCGGGGATGGGGATGATCAATAATAAACAACAAAATAAGATAATTAAATGTTTATTGCTAGTTTTCAAGTACCTGTCAGAATCTCCTGCCTTTGGAATGAAAGGAGAGATAACATAATAACCATTCTCAGTCACTCCAGAGATGCTTCTTGATCTAGGACCAACAAATAAGCTCTTTCCCTCATCATACATGCCCTCACAAATGACCTTTCTGAATTCCAAAGAGTCCATATTATGCCCCAAAGAGCCTATCTCATTCCACCTAATGGGTTCCATGTCCAGTCTTTTTTTCCTATAATCCAACATTTTAATCTGACAAGAAATAAATTGCAAACAAATTTGCATTAGCTTGAACAAGTTATTACCAATATATCATGAGAAAAACCAAAATAGAATCAGCACTTTAAATATTTCACTTGGCTTTAGAAGAAACTTTAAGATAAACAAAATATGTGTTAGAACATGGTGCAATTATGAGCTATCCATCACCTTCTCTTGCCTACGGAAAATCTGCCAGGTTCCAAGGCCAAAACTGATAGCCCCGGGAATAAAGAGCAGTAGCTTGGACCATCTTCCCCTCTCTTCTAACAACCAAATATAGATGTCAATCGAGAGAACTATGAGGCATATGAAGGCAAGTAAGAAACTGATCAACCACCCTTACGTGGTGGTGAACGCAGGCCTCAAAATTGATCATTTTGAGGCACTTGAAATCAATGAGAACGAAAACCCTAAACCCTACAAGAACTTGAATATTTCGAATTCTATTCAAAATAGAGCATTCCTTAGATTGGGATTTTATGAGGAAGAGAGAGAGACCTTCGGTTTGTGACGCCACTGCTGCTTCTCCAATGAGTGGTGGCGGAGGCTGCGGTTGGAGATTTCTTTCAGACGTCAAAAAGGACGAGAAGACAGGTGTGCATTTCGGAATAGTGGGGATGCCTCTGCTTAGTTTTAGGGCAGCCATTGCAGATAGAAGAGAATCAGATAGAAGCCTAGAACGGCTTGGCATTCCAAAAAGCCATCTTCGCCGGCAAATAAGCTTCGAATTCCACAGCGGCGCTTTGCCAGAATAAGCGATCTGGCCTTCCTGCCTGTTTGGTAGCAGGATTTACGCAAGATTTAATCAAATTCCTACTAAACGGTAGAAAAATCATTTCAAATTCTACAGCTTTCTAAATCCCATATTACTCCATGTCAACTTAGAACCGGCCATCGGGCGAGTTTAACGTAAATCCGCACGTCTCAGTAAGTCCTCTCCGCACGCCGTCAGTGCCTCGCTAGTGTTCGGTAATAAAAGGGAAGAAAAGCTAGGGTTCTGATATTAGCCGTGCTGCGGGAATTTTATAATTAATAAAATTATTAAGAGCGATAATTTGATAATGGAATTTTTTTAATTAATCCTAATAATTTGTATTATTTACTTAAACGAATAGAAAATTTAATTTTATTTGTGATTTAATATAACAATAACAACATCAAAGCATTTGTCTCACAACGTGGGGTCAGTTACATAAATCATTTTTCTTTATTATGTTATGTTAAAAGCCAAATTCTCATCTAAATTTAATAAAGAAATATCATGTCTAATATTTTCCACTATTTCTATCTTGCTTAACATAAGTCAAATCCAATACCTCTATTTTCCTAACCGAGTCATAGAAAGACTGTCATTTTATGTGATCAAATCATCCAAGGCGACTCTTTCTAATCTTATCTTCCACTGGAGCTATTCCAATCTTTTCACATATATATTCTCATTTTGTATCCTATCTATAAGGATAAAACCACTCATCTACCTGAGCCTCCTCATCTCTGCAACATCTAACTTAGTATTATACTTCTCTTTTAATGACCAACATTGGGCACCATAAAACATTTCACCATCTTATAAAATTTTCCCTAATAAATAAAATATAACTAAATAAAAAATTATCAAAATTTACTAAATAATGATTAATCAAAAAATATAATTTCATGCTAATTATAATCTCTAATCAATATAGCTGATTCATGATAAAAAAAAATTATCTTTATACATAAAGCCAAGGCCTTCCCTCCAATGAAATACCTCATTTGTAATTAACAACAAATATTAGTGAATTCATTCAAACTAAGCTAGACTCCATAATTTTCCACCTTTTTTTCAAAGATTTTCCACATAAAAAATTATTATATCTCTTATTAATATTGCACCCTCTTTTTTATCTTATTGTGTACTAAATCTTCATACAAAATTAAGAAGTTAAATTTTATACTTCTTTAGCACCGCAAATATTCGAGGACGCAACCATAACTAAATCTTATAAAATCTATTATTTAAAACTACTAATGTTCAATCAAACAAACCAATAATCCATTAATTAAAAAACTAAATCAATTTCAATAATAAATATCAGTTTAAAGCCAACTTTTTTATTAAGATTCGGAAAATTAGCAGACAATAGCCAGCATTCAGACAAAATAACAGAGCACTGCGACTACGGCATTCTAAGAAAATCTATGGATGGCTGTGTTGAACAACCCAGCTTTCAAATTTAATTTTCGTTTGAAACAGATTTACTATTATTTTCTAAAGTAAAAAAAAAAATTGCTTAATACAAAAACTGTCCCAAACGAAGCCTAAAAAAAAGAAAAAATAATAATCAGAAGAATTTCAGCAAAGGAAGCCAAACAGAACACTTCAAGCTATTACAGATATTTATCTTTGAGTGTCAGATTGAAATTTGGGTGAAACCTCAACTAGTACAGTCTGACTCTTCATCATCATCAAGCTTCTCATAACATTTATCTGGCTAAAAGAACAACATGAAGAACTCAGCGCAGATATAATAGAATATAGGAAGTGAAGGTAAAAATCTCAGGAACAAAAATTGACAATCACATCCAACAAGAAGAAGCTAAAGATAAGAAATGAGGTAAAAATGTCCCACAGAAGCTGATGGATCTCATCTATCTCCGGCCATGGAAGCTTTCGTTGGGTCTCCGAGCAGTGGCAAACTGCAAACGCAGGGTTGGTGAATCTGGATCATGAAGGTCCACTTTGTAACCTGATCAATGGAAGAATTGAGAGTTATGAGGCCGTTTGTTAGCCTGTTCCAACGCTGATTTTCTTTGAAAATATAATAATACTATTAATAATACAAATCTCAAGTATTTAAACATTGGCATAAATCTTATTAATTCTTAAAAAACTCAGCTTTTGGCCACAATTTCTCATCACAGTAGAGAACCCAAATCGTCAATTTCAACAAAATACTCTCATTTTTGGGAAATGTTAACAAAAATACTCTCAAATTCAAAAATTCTAGAACATTTTGTAATTTTGTTGGGAACACCCTCTCAATCAAAACCATTTGTCATAAAATTCCAGGCAAATTTGTATTTTCAGAGTAGCAATAAAAACTCCCTAATTTCTCTCAAAAATTAGAAATTATTAAATATTTAATGTTGGCCCACAATTTAGTTTGATTGTTAGGGGCCCCCTCCAATAACAAATTCCATTGCTTACAAAATCATGATTTTCCAATATAATCACAATACATTGCCTTAAAATGCCACCTAAAAATTTTTGAGAAGTAGGAAATTTTACCCCAAAAAAATACATTTATGCACCAAAGGCCCTAACTCCCAATTTGCATGGTTTATGCACACCTCCAACATTTTTTCCTATCAAAATATATTTTAAATGCTCAAAATGCCCCCAAAATGATGTTTAGCATGCTTAATTTAAGGAAGCTTCAATCAAGCAAATAAAAGAGAGTTCCTAGCAAATAAAAAAGCCAAATGATTAGGTAAAGAAAAATAAACCAATCGTCCTTAACAATAATATTTAACCATATCACCATGATAATAGTTGCATTGACATTAAACTCAACATGAGGGGATCCTTATCAACCAGTCAAGCTTATCCTTAGGTCATCCAACCTAAGGCCCACTCAATATAACCACCAAGGCCTCTAATACTAACAACTATTGTCAAAGATGATGAATACAATAATATACCAGTCTGCCGGGGGTCCAAGGGGGCGCTGCCCCCTAGCGGGGTTCGACCTGAGTAAGTTGTTTGTATGGATAGATATACCGAGCATGTACTGAGCGGTACCGAGCGGTACCGAACAGGTACATGCCCGATACAGCTCGGTACAGCTATAAATGCTCGGTGTCGAGCGGTACCGAGCTGTACCTAGCATGTACCTAGCTTTTTTTTTAAAATTTTTAGAGACGGACGCCTCTCAACCATGAGGCGAGTCACGCCTTGAGGCACACCTCAGTAAACTTGAGGCGTATGCCTCAAATCCTGAACTCATTGCATAGGCTTTGAGGCTTAAATGGGCGAAATTGCACTGAGACGCACCTCTTATTGCACAATTTTAAACCATGGTAGAAATAAGAACTCTAACCTGATGTGGGCTCTAAAAATTTGCGCCACGACCTCTCTGTGCCTTTTTTATTTTATTTTGTCGACGGAGAGAGTTTTAACGAATTAAGTTACAGAATAAATTTTTAGAAGGCATATTTAATTTTTAGATAAGACACGACACCAAAATTTTGCCCTTATTTTGCAAGGATTTTATAATCTAAGGACTGGTTTCTCATAGGTACAAGCCCCTATGGTTAATTACTCCACCCGATAACAAGAGAGCACTTTCAAATAAGTTTAATCATTATATAAGCACCATATGTCAAGCATACAATAGCAACAGCTTCAAAATTTGGATGTTGAATTTTTGGGATTTTTAGGATTTGAAATTTATCATTGTACACTTAAAGTTGGTGATTGTGAATGAGGGCAGACCTGATCAAGATCCCATGGTTCCAACGTCTAGGATCATCGTGGTCCCTAGTCTACTTAGTTAAAAGAGGTACTTGACCCAACCTGCTGAAGGATCATTGTCGACAACCTTGTTGATTTGGGATGAATGATAATCTAAGTGGACACATTTGAGTGAACATTAGCTACAAAAGAGTTTTTTATGTAAGCAACCCCCCCCCCCCCCCCCCCCCCCCCCCCCCCCGCCATACCCACAGCTTCTCTCTCTAAAAAATTCTGTGGTTGTCTCGATTCTCTGGCCGTGGCTATTCGGTTTCTCCTCTTATAATTCGTCTTAAACTTCTATCTATTTCTTCTCTCCACAAGTTTACACCCCATTGTATCTTTCTTCTTAAACTACAAAAATTTGTAAGGTGTCATTGTGTCTTGTTTAAGTTTGTTTAGTCATGTTTTTTATTATTGTTGTGTTTGTTTAAGTTATTTAGAAATGAAGCAATTATTTGCATACCTAGTAGGCTTTAGGATTTTTTTTGTTGCATCAGTTTTGTACCCTATCAAATATACCTTGTGACTCATTACTCAAGGGTTTCGAGCTATTGGGGAATATACAGACTCTAATCATAACAGTAATTTAGTGGTACCATTTGGCCGCAATACCACCCGATCAGATGGCCCCGATCATAACCGTTTACATGTTGTGTCATTTGATGGCAAAACAACTTGTTACTGGTAAGAGACTATTTGAGAATAAATCTTAACAATACACCAGACATAACATTCATTCTTTGTGAGCTAAAGTTATTCTCAAATATATCACTCCCAACAAAATTATGCAAGGCGGATGTATTTTCACTTTAAGTTTTTATGTTCTTTCATTTCAATTGGAAATTTTGAAATTTAAATTTTGAAAAAAATTATATTTGAATTTTTATTTAAACTTGAGCACTGAATTTTGACTTTTGAATTTTAGGATATTTCTTTGAAATTTAAATGGATCGAACTGATTGAGATTTTCTATCAACAAGATCATCCTCATGGTGACATTATAGTCACCTTAAAGATATTGTATTATGCATTAGGGTTTAGGATGTTTTGAAAGATAGGATCCCCTCCGATTGATATTCACATTCAACATGATCATCATAGAGGTAACATTAAAGTCACTTTAAAGATATTATAGTTTGCATTAGGTTTTTCAGTGTTTTGAAAGATAAGATCTCTTCTAGTTGAGATTCACATTCAACGCAGCTATCATCGAGGTGACATTACAACCACTTCAAATATTTGTAATTTCATCAGAGTTTTGGAGGTACTTTAACATGTAGGATCCCCTCAGGTTAAGATTTTCTATCAACACAGTCATCATCAGGGAGACATTATAGTCATTTTTTATTACTTTTTATTTTTTTAAAGACATTATAGTCATTTTAAACATAATGAATTTTGCATTAGGGTTTGGGATATTCTAAAATATTGGATCCCATACAGTTGAGATTCACATTCAACACGGCCATTATGGGGGGGTTTACAGTTTGAGCCTGGTTAATTATATTTGTAGGCTAATAGAGAATGGGGCTAAATTACTGATTTTAGGGAGTATCGTATATATAATAAAATTGAGAGATTGTATATCCACTTATAAATTCAAATCTTACCGAGTCCAATCCTTTCAGGGAGGAAGTTAGATCTGAAATTTAAAATTTCACTTTTTTTAATTTTAAATTATTTAACATTCTTAGTCCTAGATTTAAGAGTTTTGGTACGATGGTAAGAGCACATGTGGGTGTTTATAACTTGAATATATGATTTTTAAATTGGCCCCACGTAGCAATCTCAGATGTAACGTGCATGCATATATCACGCTTGTCGGAGAACAAGCAAGTTTTTCATTTTTAGGACTTATCTTTTCGTACAACATTCAATGTATTTGTGTTGCATACTTGCACAATTTTTAGTGCATTCGTATGATATTTGTGCATGACATCCGATACACTGGGTACATTTGCATGCTTCTCAAGGTGATTTAATAGGATTTGTGGACTACGTCGAAATGTGTGCATCTTGAAAATGTATGGGCTTGATTACTTTGCTCGCCCTTGACTTTCTTGCATAAATTTTGAAGAATTACACATTGAAATTTAAAATTTAATTTGTAAAATTCGTGCAAGTGGCAATTATGTAAAGTTTAATTCCTCACCTTCATATTTTGTATCTTTTAAGAATTTTTTGGTGTCGCCTTCTATCCGAGCGTACAAAGAGGGGTGCGGGTCTGGTGGCGAGGAAAGCAGTTTTAGGGAACAACTATGGAAACATGTATGAACAAGGTTATGACATATTTTCCATGAGTCATCTTCTAAGGTATTTAGATGTTATTTTATTATTAGATTAATGAAGGTGGGCTCCACATGAGACTTCTTCCCCTCTTATATACATGAAGTTGTAGCTTATGCAGACTTCCCATTTGTTATATATGAAGCTTTTACTTCCTACCATCTATATTTAAGTATCAACCCAAAGTTTTATTATTCAAATATGGTGTGGTTTAAAGTAATCGGCCTGGTTGCTAAGAGCTCAAAGATAGTTTAGAAATTGGATATATTTAGTCAAAGGGAATAAAAAGGTGGGCCAATACTGTTAAAAGATCATTAATAGTTGAAGGGGGCTTCATTGTGGAGTTCGCCAGGAGGAAGAAATGTATTGGGCTGTGAACTTTGGAGTTCAGCAATTGGTGACTGCTTGTTGAAGGCTCGGGTGGTAATTTTAAGGAGGCTTACTGGCTTAGGTTGCTGACTGTTGTGAGGTGGTTTTCCAACAATTCTTACAAGATGGCCTAGGATTTTAGTAATTCTTCTAAACAAACTTTTGTAGATTGCTTCTATCGAAAGAGAAGAGGGAGACGTTCCAGTCAGGGATCGACTAGGATTAATTATCTGTGGTGCAGGATATCACTAGCATGAGGGCTGCAATGGCAGAGTTGAGCGCAAGCAGTTGGTTGAGAGCAGGATCGCACAGAAGATAGGCAGGCAATGGGACCTGCAGCGGCAAAGCTATTTTGTGGAAACGGAAAGTCTAGCATGTGAGCAGGCCAAAGGAGGAGTCTCAGCAAGGAAACTTTTTGGTGGTGGAAATGAGAAGCTAGTGTATTATTTCGCTCCTGTAAAGACATAGGAGAAGAGATTTTTAATCGGGCTAGAGAAGTGCCTACCTTTTCTCTTGAGGCCATTCACTTAAGAAGCACAGGATTCTTTAGAATTCCATCCCCCATTAAGGTTTCAATTTTATTTTTTTTTTAATTTAAAGCGTGGCAATGGTTATTGCATAACCCACTTAGAAATTTCAGATATATTTTTCAATTTCAATTAAAAGCAACAAATCACTAATTTTTGTCAAAATATTTTAAAACTACTATCACCCATAAATTGAATAAACTGAAATTTGGTCACACTAACCAACTTTATCCAAATTGATTGCGACAAGATTGTGATCATAGTGAATTTTGCAAATAATTATGATTGCAGTCAAGCGCACAAAATTGAGCAAAATGAAGATGATGCAGCAGATTAAGAAGTGATCTTAATAAGGAAGCCCAAGTTCAAGTGATCGAGTATGCGTGTGCCACGATGATAGAACCGAGAGACACGAAGTCAACCAAAATGTGTGTGCAATGGTTGAGCTCAAGCACGACAACACTGAGGTCAACATGTTTCTCCATGGAGAGGATAAAAATCCTCATCATTCTTAAGCGGTAAGTTATACAATTGACAACAATTAGTACTCATAATCATGATGAGAACAATGAATATAAGAAGCCCCTCTTGGAGAATTAGAATTATGATAGTTTTGATGCACACAAAGGTTGTCCCCAAGATAAGGATCAATGTATGCGTTAGATTGACATCAGAAGAGCGATTCATGACATTCTTTAAACATCAAATGGAAGGGGTCTTCCAAAATATTCTGAGCACCTACATTATATTGTGGGCATGCATTCATCCCATCACAGGTTAAGTCACATCAATCCAACTGAATAAGTAAGTTGTGCCCTATTATGCTTATCACCATCATGTCACATTGATCCCCATACAATAAAAACCCCACTTGAGTCTTGCCAAAGGTGTACTTTAACATTAATTAGATCAGCTTATATTTGGATTCATGGCAACCACATTTTGCTCATGATGTGGTCACCTTAGAATAGGGGTGTAAACAAGTTGAGCCAAGCTTGATTAATCCTAGCTTGAGCTTGATTAATTAATCGAGTTTGAGCTCGAGCTCGAACTTAATTCAATGAGTTTGAGCCAGCTCGTTTATAACGAAAGAAAGAAAATGGTTATGATTCAAACAATTATTATAAAAATATTATAAAAGGAATGAAAAATTATAAGATGAATAATAAATAATTATTTGATAAAAAAAGTGAGATAATTTTTAAATATTTCTAATAGTTGGAGTAGCTCCAATGGAAGATAAGATTAGAAAGAGTAGCCTTAGATGGTTTGGTCATATAAAACGGAGGCCTTCCAATAACCCGATTAGGAGAGTAGATGTATTAGATTTGGCTTATGTTAAGAAAGATAGAGGTAGACCTAAAATGACTTGGTTAAAAAATATTAGGAATGACATTTCTTTATTAGAGTTAAATGAGAATCAGACCCTTAACGGAACACAATGGAGATAAATTATTCATGTAGCCAACCCCACGTAGTGGGATAAAGGCTTGATATTGTTGTTATTGTAAAATAATTTTAAACTTGAACTACGAAATTTTAATACATTTTAATTGTATTTTATAATAATTATTTTTAAATGAGCCAGCTCGCAAGATAACGAGTTGAGTCAAAGCTTGCTCAATCTTGGCTCAATAGTTCATTCGAGCTCGGCTCAAGAGCCATTTATTAAGTCAAGCTTGAGCTGACTCACAGAGTCACAGGACAGCTTAACTCACTCAAACCCTTACCTTACAATCTTCTCTTAAAGCATTTGCAAAAAGATTTTCTAAATTCTTCCTTCCAAACAAAAAAAGAAAAGTCTATTTATGATTCATTTGGTTGATGTTTTCAAAATGCATGCAATTTAGAAATGCACAAGTTATTTGGTAGAAAGTAAAAAAAAAATCCATTAAAACAATTTTTAGTTTTTGTTAGGATATATATTGAATAAACTTCTCTATTTTTCTCCTTTGTATCTTATTTGTAAACTTGGAAGGGGAACAACAAGTTTGGGGCTACCAAATGCGAGAGCATGTGCGTGCAAGACCCTAGGAGTTTGTCCAAGGCAGCAAGGAAGCACCACTAAGGCGATTGAAAGCTGGCATAGTGATGCCACATGGGATTTAGAAATCGCATGATACAAACAATTTCAAAATGCAAGAAAAATGAAATTTTTGATGTATTTCAAATCCTCAAAACTTTACATTGTTTTTCTTCACTTCAAACCAAACACCATAGAATTTCAAATGTTAGGAAATGAAACGAAATATTTTCTAATGCTTGCAACAAACCATAAATGTTTTTTTCTTATTTGTTGAAGTATGCACTCAATATTACAATATTTTATGCATTCGTGAATACAATAGAGCTTCTCATAACCATTATAAATCTTCTCACAACTAATCCTATTAGAAGCTATATGCCAATTTAACTTACATCTAATAAATATCCTTCTTTTGTAGGCGTAGATTGTAATAGTTTCTTCATCTCTTCTCAAGTTAAAGAGCATAACAACTAACTATATTTATAATATTCTCACTAACAATTAATTTAATAGCAATCACCCATCATGAACTTTAATGGCCTCAAAAAAAATCTTTTAACTCTATTCATAAATATTCTCATTCTATTTCTATTATTAACCATTCTATTTCTATTATTAACATCACCAATATACAACATTCATCAATATCATTGAATGTCTTTCATTTTCCATTTACTTTCATAAAACAAGTATCATTCACTTTTTTTTCTGTTTATTATGCTTCCTAATTCATGAAACTTGTTCAAAGTCACCAAATTCCAAGTGACAATCCCTCAAATTTAGGCATAACCAAACGTTGCATATTTTTCAAGGCAATTAAGTTAATTTATGGTTTTTCATTTGTGTTTAACATCTGAGCCAATCCCAACTACTGTTCATTAAAATCAAGTTAAATTGTGATGCTTCACTTACAAAAAGCACTTTATCCAATATCATCATTGCTTCTCACCACAATCATGTTAGATTGTGGTGTATTGCTTTTAAATATTGCCCTGACCCAAGAAAATTCATATTTGATAACATTTCATTAATTTTATCATAAGTTCTATGAATCATTGCCAATCTAACACCAACCCTCAACTTTTTCTTATCCAGGCTTGGGATCGATAAAGATGGTTTTTTAATACAAATTATAACGGGCAGGTGTAAACAACACAAAACAAATAATGGATGATTTGACTCATAAAGCCAATTCCAAAAATAGTTAGGATAAGGCTAACAATAATGATGTTGATATTGATTTTCATGTAATATTCAAATAGTTAAACAAGAACATGAAAACGTGATAGTGAAAAATAAAACCTTAAGCACCACAAAATATCAAACATAGGCCATAAATACAAACCTTCAATAGCGCCCATAGCAGCCATGGCATAGGATGGAGTTGTGAAATCAACAAAGCACAGAACAATAGGGTTTCCACCATCCTGGGAAGAATCAAAATTACTAGTGTGTCAAAACACGAAACTATATTAAGGAAAATTCTTGCTAGAAAAAAGTATAACAATGCCAATGCTCTAGTGATGAACATACATATTTCGGTTCTTTCTTAACTAGACGAATTTCCTTGTAGCCCAAAAAGGGACGAAATATATCTTCATTCACAATTAAGGGAAATCAATATGGGAAATAATTATAAGATTATTCATTCCGCTAAAAGTTAATCAAGGATACGTGCTACTTCCCTCTCAGTAGTATCACGTGGAAGTCCTTCAACAAATAAAGTATTTGAAGCATCAGGTGGCAAGGGAATCTCTCTTCCAGCAACCACAGGATGAACCCTAGGATCCACAGCAGTTTGGATGCCAAAGCCCATTGTCCTATTACTTTTTACTACCAATTCTGGTGGTCCCAATGACCTAAAAGCAGGGTCAGACAATATGACAGGGTCTTGGTAAGCAAAACCTGCTTTGCCTCCCCTAAAACCATATATTTCTCCACCAGCAGATCTACTCTCACCTACCAGGCCAACATGAGTAGAACCATATGAAGAAAACTGTTGCTGCACAAGTTAAATTCATAGAGAATAAAAAATTCAAGAGCGTTGCATTAAAATTAGATAACATTAGAAAGTTCCATAAATGTTTGGATACTTTATCCTGAAGATAACGGTCATATGATGCTCCAAGCGCTCGTGTATCGTTCGTAGATTGAATACCGTGCTCATGTGGCTGAAATATTTGAGCTTCTTGACCTGTTAAAGCTCCACCTGCAACATTTTTTTAGCCATTGCAACATCAAGGATTTAGGATACATAATTACTTAATAAATGCAAGATGGATTAGCTAAGAAAAAAAGAGGCGGACACAAGGAGTTGAAGGCTCCTTTTAATAAAGAAGTGAGATCCTTTGAACTGCTGCAACGAACTTCGTATTTTCCATGAAATCATGCATGAGAAGTAATTAAATATTTATGCTAAAAAATCTCAACCAAAAACTGTTATTGTTATAAACCGGGATTTGAGAGGGAAAAGCTTGTTCTTATTCATTACAATCTTCCCTATTTATAGATCTATACAAGATATCCTAATGCGGAAATAATAAATTGCAGATTTAATACACAAATAAGAAAATAAAATCTTTCCTAAATTCGTTCCCTCATTATGGCGTAATCCATGAGAGTATCCCACGGATTGATCTTTGTGTCCGTCGGATCCTTTGTACTAGAAACGGCTGGATTTCAACACTCCCCCTCAAGCTGGGAAATATGGATCCGTCATTCCCAGCTTGTCAATCATACGGAGGAAGACAGAACTGTCCAATCCTTTAGTAAGGAAATCTGCAAGTTGATCCTTTGATGATACATGGTCAACACTTACTAGACCACTGTCTAGTTTTTCTTTAATAAAATGTCGGTCGACTTCTATGTGCTTGGTCCTGTCATGCTGGACTGAATTGTGGGCTATGCTGATTGCTGATTTGTTGTCACAATGTAGCTTCATGGGCTCATCCCACTTAACCTTCAGATCTTCTAGGATTATTTTGATACACAGTAGCTCACATATTCCCAAGGTCATAGCTCGATATTCTGCTTCTGCACTAGATCTTGCCACCACATTCTGTTTCTTGCTTCTCCATGTAACTAGGTTACCTCCAAGAAATGTGCA